TTTTAAAAGTAAGATTATTAATAGCATTTAATTAATCCAAATTTGGTGCCTAATTACTAAATCAAAACTTGAAATTGGAATATAATCTCTTTAGAGAAGGTTTGAAGTGTAGTAGACTATAATTTTTCAAAATAAAATGTATTAGATGCACTTTATAATTTGCAAAATTAGCTGGCTCATTAATCATCTTTAGAAAAAAATTCAGACAAGGATATCAGGCTTAGTTACGACTATGAGTTTTATAAGATTTTGATGGGCCTTGAGCAAATATGATTTAATGATAGTCTATCTGCTTGGCTGCTTCTTTATCTATTATGTACCATCATTATAATCTACTTATATATCTAGCAATGTATGCTTATTTTGAAAAAGTATTTGATTTCATACAATAGAGCAAGAAACATGGAGACACACTGTCACTAAATTTTGAGTTCCTCAACATCTGATGTGTGAATTGTTAGATGAAGCTTGTGAAATCTTCAGAGCAGCAGAATGCAACAGTCATTGGAGAGTTCATCCTTCTTGGATTTGGGAACATGAAGAACCTGAATACTCCCCTTTTTTTGCTATTTCTGATCATTTATATTGCAACTGTATCTGGAAACATTCTCATCATCACACTGGTTATGGCAGAGAAGCATCTCCACACTCCCATGTATTTCTTTCTTTCAAATCTATCCTTTTTGGAGATCTGCTACACCACAACTATATTACCCAGAATGATTGCCAATTTTCTTACGGGAAACAAAACAATTTCTCTTTGGGGTTGTATTTTACAAATGCACATTTTTTTCACTCTGGCAGCTACAGAATGTTACCTCTTGGCAGCAATGTCATATGACCGTTATCTAGCCATTTGTAGACCCTTGCATTATGTCACACTTATGAATTGCAAAACATGTGTTTTGCTAGTTTTAATGTCATGGATAATAGGATTTGTGCTTATCAGTATTTTGACATCATTGCTGACACAACTCATGTTCTGTAATCAATACAAAATTGATCATTTCTTTTGTGATTTCACACCCTTAATACGACTTTCTTGCAGTGACACTTGGGTGATTGAAAGTGTTGCTTTGGTAACATCATGTTTAGGAATTCTACCTACATTTTTTATAACTGTCACATCTTATGCTTTTATCATCCAAGCAATTATGAAAATCAAGTCTGTGAATGGGAGACAAAAGGCATTTTCTACTTGTTCTTCCCATCTCACTGTAGTCTCCATTTTCTATGGCTCCTTAATGCTTGTCTATATTATACCAACAACTGACACATTCAAAAATTTGAATAAGAGCTTCTCTTTCCTATATTCTATTCTTACTCCCATGGTCAATCCCTTTATTTACAGTTTGAGAAACAGAGAGGTAAAGGTAATCATTAGAAATACTCTGTGTTAATTTCAGAGATTTTTATAAATACTTAATGGTGTGTGTGGATATTTGCATATTTGTCTTTGAGTCAATCTTGATTCCTGGTAGCTACAGAACTATGACTTCTGATCTCTCAATTTTTAACTACAGCAGCAAAATAACTCTCATTGAATATTAATATATATCGTATAAATATCCTTCCACTTATAGTTAAAGTATAATTTAAATTCTATGATTAAATAAATTTAGTGGATTCAATGGGTTTATATTACTTCTCTTCTTTTCCTACAGTTTTCTCTTTCTCTTTTTTTCACTGCTGATAGATTGAATATTTATCATAGGTATCACTTAAAGTTTATAATTTGAAATGACCTTTTATAGTTCTCATACAATGTTTTAAGAGATTTCAAAGTGTACAATATTGAATTGTATTCAGATTATATTAAACATAATGCATATGCATTTGTATCTATAAAATATTGTTTAAAAGTCTTGACATTTTTAAAAAAAGAGATGACTGAAAAGTAATGATTGAATTATAGGAATGAAGCAGTACATGAATTCTATCATCTTTGCCAATATTTGCCTTGGGATTATTGTAAAATCAATATCAGAATAGTTTCCATGGTGGTAAAGTGTAAATGAGCATATCTTGGCCCCACTGATACTTATGGCTATTCAAGATATGGCATTTATGTAAAAATATAAGCCAGCTAAAATAGAAATTGTGATGCAATTTTTATACAACAGTAAATAAATGCAACCGATACATGATTTGTTTTTTCTCAGATCTTTAGCTGTTGTCTTTATTCACTACAACTATGGCTGCAATTTCCAACTCATCAATTGCAGGACAAGTGGTGAGGATCTACAGCAATAACTCTCCACTTCTTTCTTGGCAAAGAAAAGTTTGATCCTCTTATCTCACAAAACTATTTTTGGTGAGCTTGGAGAGTTCAAAGAAGAAATGAACATATTAGGATGTCTTTCTTGGATGTCATCCTCCTCAGCATCTGTGTCTTCCCTCCAGGCCTTCAGATAGTTCCAGTGGATTGATGATGCACCTTCTTCTCTACCACAAATATTCATTAAAAGTAATCAAGATACTTAATTTAGGGGAGAAATATCTGAATGCCAGGCAATAGGACTAGGCAACTTAGCCTAAATATCCGTAATTGGCCACGTTACAAGTAAATTCATCATAATAGCTGGAAGAATCTTTCATGAAAAGCAATTTGCAACTCCTCATTCAATTCTGAGGATGCCATTTTCATATTATAGTATTTTGTATACTATAGTATTCTGTACTACATCACCTCTATCTTAAGGACTAATGTAATGCTGCTGTCTTAAAAGTTCCAATATTTTTTTAATGCTTTCCAAGTTTCAGATAAAAGCACTATCACTGCTTTGAACAACTTTGTTTCTTTGGATATCTTGTAACAGAATATTTCTTGATAGTGAAGATCATTATTTATTAACGAACTACCCCCCGAGATCCGGACGATTCCGGATCTCCTTACCTTCCGCCGTGCCCTCAAGACATGGCTTTTCCAGCAAGCGGGCCTGACCTAGGGAGGATTTTATTTAGGGTGATTTTAAAAATAATTTTAAATAGAAACACAGCTTCTAATATTCGGTTTTTTAATCTGGTTTTACAGGGGTTTGTATTTTTTTATGTTTTGTATTTGTACTGTTTTTAATACGCTGTGCACCGCCCTGAGTCCTGCGGGAGAAGGGCGGTATATAAATTAAATAATAATAATAATAATAATAATAATAATTAATGATAATGGGATGAAGGAATAATCTTGGAGAAAAGGAAGAAGAGTCACAACTAAGACAACAATCAAATAAATGAAATCCAAGTTTGAGGCAGACGTATAATTTGAGAGCATATATGGTCTTTTGAATATCACATCTAGTAGATAAGCCCCAAGAATGCTAAGGATACAGAGATGGAGATAAGAAGATAAAAATGGACTCTCTTCTTACACATGAATGAATTTCAGCTTATTTCATGGCACCTATACAGAGAGATATCTGGGGAAATACAAAAGAAAAGGAAATAAAACAGCTAGCAAATATAGACTCTTGATAAATGGATTTATTTATTTTTAGACAGGCATTTTATGACTTTTGATTTAATGAAACCATTGGGACTTAACACTAATGATATGGAAGTTTCCTGTTATTTTTTTTAAGATTAATAGATATGCTTGTTGAAATAAAACATAAAAGAATGTTATTCAGTTTACAGAAACTGAGTAACAGAAACTGAATATCCTCATCTACCTTCTCATAAAAATACATGTTTTCAAAGAATCTTCTTGATTGATATTCTGAAGCATTCAATACAGAATGGATATTAACAGAATGGTTTCCAACAGCATCCATAGTGAGCAGCTATATGTTGAAAACATTGTACAATTATTTTTCAGTTCTCTTTATGATCTTAATATTTTGTGGTTGGTAAAAAGTAAGTTAGCAACTTTCTAGGATATACTGATTTTAAGTAATTGTACACACACTTGCATGCATACACACATACCCACACATAGTAATTTATTGAGATTTGTTTAATTTAAAACACTTAAATTTACTTATTTGTTTGTTTACTTACTTACTTAATTGTTAAAAGAATCAAGTTTATCTCTCTAAGACTTCCATCTCAACAACTGGAGGCATTGTCAAGAGGTAAAAAAAAGAAATTTTATTACAGTTGTATATATATATCTACATTTTGTCAGTAGATTTTTTGGGGGGATTATAAAATTAGTATTCTTGTCATAATCTTGTCTAATTGATAATTCTTTCAAAATTTATCATTTTATCTCCCACATAGTCCTCTGCATAAATATTATTTCTTATTATGTTCTATCCATTGTACTGATCTTAATGATTCTTCTAAACAATACGTAGTGAAAACAGTCATCTATTTATTTAGGATATGTGCTCTCCAGGAACATTCGGCTCCAAAGATTCTCTAGTGAGCATGGCCATTGTTAGGAATTATGGGAATTAAATCCACATATCCATTGCAAACCATATTTGTTGTTTTTTTTATTCTCGTTATTATGTTAGCATGTATAATACATAATGTTTTTAGCATGAATACAGAAAAAAATGTCCATTAAGTGATTCATATGTTTTCAAGTATGCCATATAATTAAAATGAGTGGAGATGTTGATATGCATATTTGTAAAAATTATTTGTCTGATGATCTCTAAATTGAAATATTTTATTATGAAATAGTCAGAAAATGGTAAAATAAAATTTTGGAGAGCAATCTTTGTCCTAAAATTAAAAATCAGTCTGTGATTCTTGGATCCAGTGATTGTTTGTGCTAAGTATACAATTTATTCATTCTTTCTTTGGCATTGGCCTCAGCTATATGCTAAGTACATGAGTTCCTTAGATAAATGTTTTATTCTCATTATACCCAAGTCAAAAGTGAGAAAATTAATTAATTGTATATATAAGTTGGAATTTATTAAAATAAGAAGACAGTGAACTGCATCACTACTTCCAACTTAACTTTGCATATTTTTCAAGCAAAAATCCTAGCAAAATGATAATTTAAAATAATTCCTTTAAATTTGTTGTTGCTGTTTGTTTTTATTTAGATGACTGTAAAAAGCAATCCAGCTGGAGAAAATCAAACAATTCCCATGATGTTTATTCTTCTGGATTTCAACACTGGGGAATTTCAGCCTTTATTTTCTATATTCTTTCTACTCATCTACCTTATAACTATGACTGGAAATATTCTTATTGTCCTTCTAGTGATAGTCGACCAAAAACTTCACACACCTATGTATTTTTTTCTGGGAAACCTGTCCTTCCTAGAGACTTGCTACAGTTGCACCATCATGCCAAGGATTGTGGTCAGGTTTCTGAGTGGAGATAGTACTATTTATATTAGAGGATGCTTCACACAACTTTACTTCTTTGGGTATCTTGCAACCACAGAATGCTATTTTCTGGCGGTAATGTCTTATGACCGCTATTTAGCAATATGCAAACCATTGCATTATGCAATGCTTATGAATAGCAAAACCTGCATCCTGCTTATTACCGGGTCATGGTTAAGTGGTTCGTTGTTTATCAGTTTTATCATATACCTTGTATCTAAACTGAGTTTCTGTGGACCCAACAAAATTAACCATTTTTTCTGTGATTTGATCCCATTGATAAGGCTCTCGTGTGATGATATCACTTTGGTGGAAATTACAGCTTTCATTATCTCCTTCATAGGAACTCTGGCTCCATTTATTATAACTTTGACCTCTTATGTTTACATCATTAAGAACATTTTGAGAATCCCATCCGTAAAAGGAAAACAAAAGGCATTCTCAACTTGTTCCTCTCATCTCACAGTGGTAGGTTGCTTCTATGGCTCCCTAATAATTGTTTATGTCTTACCAAACTTAAATTCACTGAATAACCCAAAGAAACTGTTTTCCCTGTTCTACACTCTACTCACTCCTTTGGTCAATCCCATTGTCTATAGTTTAAGGAACAAAGAAGTAAAGGGAGCAGTGAAGAAAATATTCACTATAATTCCTAAAGGTCACTGACATTTTAGGTATAAAGACAAAAAATGGTTTTACTGACCTTACAATGAGATCTTAAAAATGTTAAATAATACAGAGACCACTTTATGTTTCTATGTCAGGTTAAATGCAACTCTCTTGAATAGGGCTCATTTTCAAGAGCAAAAATGATTGTAGTTTGAGAAAATGTTTTAATGTGTTTCATATATATCTTCATAGCTGAAACAGTTTTTAGCCAACAAGTTTGTTTACAATTCTTTTGTTAACAAGGTTTCCCAATCTAATTTACGTTAGAATTACTTCATATTCAGACATAACTACAAAGAGGCATTCTAAATCAATAATATTTATTGGGTTATCTAGCTACTTCCCCTAGCCAGTTGTCTTCTGCAAATACCAAACCTAGGAAACCATTCTAGCTTTTCTTAATAATGTGCTCAGGAAAGAAATTGGAACTGTAAACCACATTTGGTTAAAAAGAATGTTTCATTAAAAAAACAATAATAAGAAAAACTCAATATGAAAGATTGACAACTGGAAGTTTACTAAAGGCACCTGATTACCTGCAGCATTCAAATCAAGCCCATTAATACTGCTTGCCTGGCCAATGGGAAATAAAATATTACTGCAATGAAACTTTGCTGGCACTATCATGTTTTGACTGTTTATGGGAATCCAAACATAAATAGAAAAATGAATGGTGATTATTTATTCTACACATTAGAATTTTGTATGTATCTCATTTCCCCAAACTGTTAATTTGTACTACTATATGAATAAGCAGAGAAATATGCAGAAAAAAAATATATCTAAGAAGAAGATACAAAATTCTGTTTCTGTTATGTTTCTTCGATATTTCTGGAAGATTTAAAGTTCAAATTACAGCTTTGTTTTATGCACTTTATAAATGAAAGAACTATGTGAACATTTATTTCAGGTGGCATAATATTCAAATGAAGATTCAGTCTCAAAGAATCAATTCTTTGAGGGTGAATGTTTATTTTTATCTGGGCTCCAACGTCCCTTTCTATGGAAAATGATGGAGATTTTACTTGGTTTTAGGTTGTGGTTCAGAATGGAGACAATATTGGTCACATGTGTCAATGACCTGTGAAGTCAGGATGCAGGTGGTACATTCATCTGAGTACTCTTTGAACTCTCAGTAGTTTTTAATACTGTCAGCCACAATATCCTATTAGGCCAACTTCTTGGATTAATGTGGGTCCCAGTATTTCTCAGTGATTTTATCCATTCTCTGTGGTTCCATTCAGTGTTGACAGGGGATGAGATATTGTAACTATGATCCCTAATTTATCCAATGCAGCAATTTGGATAGTGATAGGTGTATCACAATCTGTACATCTGTCTCTGTTGCTTCATGAGTTGGATCGCCAATTGGATTTCAGGTGTGATTCAAATTGCTAGCCATTGTAAAGGCTCTATTGAGCTACCACCTATCTCCATATGTTTTATCAATTCTAGTAGCTACACAGGGCATCTTCCAGGTCCTATCTATTAAAAAGTGTCATTGTATAGGACCCAGGAAGTACCTTCTGATTGCTCCTAGCCTGTGGAATGATATCCTCCTGGAGACTCTGTCTGCTCCCACCAATATGATCTTTTTAAAATTGCTTAGGATCTTTTTTACTCCCAGGCTATGGGATACAATGAGTTTTTATTTTCTTTATTTTCCCTTTCCTTTCCCTTTTTTTTTTCTATATGGAATACACAGGATTTTAACTGTGATCCAAAATGTTGAGGAAGAGAAATGAGGCACAAAATAGTAGAATCATAGAACATTTATTTCTTTGCACCTAACTTTCAGATAAACATTCCCTGGTAACATCCTTTCATCTATATGCTCACAACATTACCTTCATTTAGTTGCAGCTATTGTGTGAGGTAAGTTTAAACATCCCCCAACTGGATGAATATTAAAGTAGCATCTGTTCTGTCTATGGAGATTCTCAGTCATCCAGATCATGGTTGTCCCAAAGGTGCTTTTTCAAGAGGCAACTGGACTTGTTTTTTTTTCAGTTCTCAACCAAGAAGCTTCTTCAGCTGTGACCAGTTGACTGAGAATCGCCATAGACTTTTAGCTATACACTTAGGGATAAACACCCTTCAAATTGTGTGAGAGTATGAACTGATTAGAAAAAATGCAGACTTACAGAAAGCATTTGCACTTCAGTTTGAGATGCAGACAACACAGAGTCATCCCCAACAATTTATACTGAGAATAAAAGCTAGTAAACTTATATTGAGAAGAAAAGCTAGTTATCCAAAATGACATAAAGTGATAGAATAACACAATAACACAATAGAAGTGTTGGAAGGGAGTTTGAAGGTCTTCTAGTCCAACCCCTGGCTCTGGCAGGAAACCTGATACCATTTCAGACAAATGGCTGTCCAACATCTTCTTAAAAACTGCCTGTGTTGGTGTATTCACAAATTCAGGAGGCAAGATACTCCAGTGACTAATTATTCTAACTGTCAGGAAAATTCTCCTTAGTTCTAGGTTGCTTCTAGGTTGTTTAGTTTCCATCCATTGCATTCAGGTACTTTGGAAAATAACTTGACCCCCCTGTTCTTTGTGGCAGCCCCTTAGATATTGGAAAATAGCTGTCATGTTACTCCTAGTCCTTAATATATTCTGTTATGGTATGTATTAAATATTAAAATTAAATATTTAACTCTTGTATATGTGTTAATAAAGTAATGGCATAGCATGAATGATTTACTTGGAAAACAGGAATAATAAAAAATTGTGTACATACAGTAAATCAAGAAAACACTTGCAAATGGAAAAAAAAGCTTTATTGAAGACCAACAACATCAACATGAATATGAAATATGTCTCCAACTATAAGTTCATAGTTTTTTACTTGTAGGTTTTTGTAAAGCTCCTATACTTCTTTATTTCTGAGTGCACAGGTCAATGGGTTTAACATGGGAGTAAGTATTCCATAGAAAACAGAAACTATTTTGTCTGTCTCTTGCATGTTCTTGCGGCTGAAGATATGAGAACATTGTTGTATTATAGAAAATTGATACTACCATCAAATGTGATACACATGTAGAGAAAGCTTTTAATCTTCCACATGCAGGGTGAATTTTCAGAATTGCCACAACAATCTGCCAATAAGAGAAAAAAATAAAAACAAAGGGGCCAAGAAATGTGAGAAGACCTGTGAGTGGCATAGTTACCTGATTCAAGGAAGTATCTGAGCATATAAGCTTGAAAATGGCTTTGAATTCATAGGAAAAATGATCAATCACATTATTCTCACAAAAGTCTGCTGGCATCACATAAATGGGAATTACTTCTAAACAGTGCTTTTTTTGTAAGAAAAAAGGTGCCAGAATTCACATCTTGTTAATCTTTTATTTAAAAAAAATATATATATTTAGTTCTTAACAGGACCGGTGGTTGAGAAGTAATTAGTATTTTGTTTTTCATTTTTAAATTTGGGGTCATACTTTTACACTAAAAATTAAAAAAAAAGATTTTTAATCCACCAACAATTTTTTAAAATAAAGAAATTATTTGCCTTTCTCACATAGTCAATCACTGCACACACACACAAAAATGTCAGTTGTGTAACGAAGCATTGCTAATTTATTAAAAGAAAAATGTTCTAAATATTACAATAGTTATACTTTAGTTTTTTTAAAAAAAATTATTTAGAGGTCTCCCAAATCCAAACAGCTTTACTGGCTTACATATTAAAAATCAGAAACATTACCCAAAAAAAAAGCATACACACACACACACACACACACACACAGTATATTCAAACTCATTTAAAACAAAAACAAAACCTTGAAATAGTTCTGCTATCGATAGCTTTAGTAGTGTGTTTTTGATTTCTACATTTAGTCACTTTTTGAGATGTTGCTGCTTTGGTGTGGTGTATGTGCATGCATTTTGATATGTATGAGATGAAGAGGACTTTTCTTCCATTATAAATCATTCCTTTTTCCTGGAAAAATTAAATAAGCCATGCATGGGAAGAAGAATTAAATGCAAACAGTAATATTATATAACTGAATAAATATATTTTATTCCTTACAAACAGAAAATCTAAAACTTTTCTTACTAATTTTTTAAGAATTCTATCCTTAGCGATACAGTAGAAAAGTCACTTCATATAAGGGATTAGTGGCATATAAATTTAATAAATAAATAAATGTCACTTGTCTCAAACAACATTAAAAACTTACATATTAAAAGTCAAAAATATTAAAAGATAAAGGAAAAAAAGTCATGAACAAATTACACTAAATCTTTATTTTTTAAAAAAAAAATACATTAAAGTAGTTCTGTTATTCATAGCTTTACTAATGACTTCTTGGTCTCTACGTTAGGTCACCTTATTTTTAATTCTAGCACTAATGGCTAATAAAAAGTATTTTCAATGTCAACATGCTTTTTCATTAACTTTTTCATTAATAATATCAGTGTGTTTTTAAAAATGTAAAAATATATTACTTATTCCCTTTAGGGACATTCCTAAATGACTCATTATTTTTTTCCTTTCAGCTTTAAGAATATATTTTGTAGATTTACAGTTACTGTGCTGTTTTCTCATGTTTGTATTATTTTCCCTAATTTAGGGGACATTTTTCAAGAAATACTAAAATATAAATATTGCTATGAGATATAATTCGTAGCAGTGAAAGGAAAAAGAAGGCTAACATTCAATATGAAACTACAAGTGGAAAAAATCAGTCAAATATTCTATAATTGATAATTCATGAAAAGTATTCACATTTTTGTTAACTTTGTAATTTTTAACAAAGCTTTTTGAAAGAAATACATGATGAGAACTAAAGCTGGTCATGTCTTGAACAAATGAAACATTTAATTTTCTAAGTCATTCATATCACTTCAGAAATATAGCAGTGTCACTATGTGCTTCTGGAGTTAGAATATATCTCAGTGTGCTCCTTATAATGTTAAAGAATGAGAATAATAATGAACAAAATTAGTTCATTATAGAGATATTGTATTAGATTCTGAG